GAAAGGGTTTCGAGGCATTGTGATTAACTTCGGAACCAATCAGCAATCATCATCAATAATAAACAATTCGATACGGAAACAATGAACAAACTTCGGAACCAATCAACGCTTGAACAACAAAATCTCGCTGCACTCCGATTATTKCCGAAGGGGATGACAACCGATGACGGCCTTGGAACCTCGTGGTGGGAGACTCGACTGTTCATAGTTGATTGTTCAAAGTTCAAGTAAGTGTAGTGTTTTTATAAAATTTTTCACTTTTATTTGTCACAACTTTCATCTGGTTTTTCTGTGCTATTAAATGAAAGGTTTTGCAAGCGTTACTCAAATTTTAGACCGATTTTTACGCCGAAATTACCAGGCAGGATAGCGAAGACAAACCTGGCTGAACACAGACAATGAGCTTTGTATGCAGATAAAAAATCYTTTATTGGGAAAGCAAAAGCCTCTTCGGAGTATGATTGAGCCTCTTTGGAGGATAATTGAGCCTCTTTTACTAATTTTGGCATGTTCTTTTCGAATATTATTTTTCGTTTATGTTGGATTAAATTTTAAAACGTCACGCAACTTGATAACCCCTCATTAACAAAGAAAGAAGCTGTAAAATACCTTGAACTATTTCTTATTTTAATAAATTGTGTATATATACGTTAAATGGTCTGCTTCGTTCTACATGCTACAGGTTTCTCAGTATAAAGCTGGCACTATTACACTCTGCCCGCTCAAAACAAATTGATGTAGCGACCACAACGAACAGAAAATAATATTTGGACATTTTCAACGAAACTTGGGAACACTCAAAACAGCTCTTTTGACGTCTCTCTCCAAAACATTCAGCTCCCAGCCCGGCCGAAAACTACCAAACAGAAAGACAGGAAACTAGTGCCAGGGCGAGCCATAATATGAAAACAACAACCACAGTAGTGTACCTAGTTGTATGCCATTATGCATATGCGCTCTAGAAAAGTGGAGGGAAATCAATAAATATATATACCTACTTGCAAAAACGTTGTCATAGAAAAACACGACATAAGTAATTTAGTGAAAAACTGAATTAAAATACAAAAGAAGATCAATGAAGCTGAATTCTGAATACAAAAGAATGAGTTCGCCGTCAGTAATCTTCTCTTGTCATTCTAATTTACTCCTATCCCACTAAACTACAAATGTTCTTTTTCCTATGACAACCTTTTTGCAAGTAAGTGTATGACATATACAAAAGCAATAAAACAGCAGTGCATACCTCGGAGAAAATCCTAGGTATACCCCTCAGCGCGGACGAAAATACATAGATTACACTTGCTTCCTCAGCAAACCCGTAAAAACATGTTTGTTAAAGCATTCCAATAAAAATAAATGAACTAAACCCTAGTTCCGCAATTCTGCAGTAGCCACATGCGCTCATCGAGCGTCTATTTTTTGATATGAAGCYAAATGACCCCATTTGTTGTCAAAAGTGATAGAAAACCATGTTGAATAAATAAATTATTTCGTAAGATTTCTCTCGTTAATTTTCATTCTGTATTATCCATATCATGAAGATTATCGTGGCGATATTTTGAAGAAATTCAGTCTGAAAAATATATTAATGAGAAAGTAGCAAAAATTAGTAATATATTCTCACTGAAGCCATTATCACGTCGCAGTATGATTAAG